AACCCTAAACCCTAAACCCCGAATCAGTGAAGTCCCCCCAAGCCCGAAGCCCAAAAACTCGAGGCCCCAATGCCTGAACTCCCAGAGCCCCATACCCCTTCAATAAGAAATCTAGCTGACATCTTAATATGAAGCCCCAAATGGGTTTAGGGTTTATAGGATTTAGAGGTTTAGGGTTTAGGGGTTTAGGGTTTAGGGTTTATAGTTTAGGGCTTAGGGGTTATTTCAGCTATATTCCTTCATTAAGCTGTATTGGTAACCCCTGTGCCCGGCGTTCCCCGGAAGCCCCCCAAACCCTGAACCCCCGAACCCCTACTACTCTAAGTTTATGAGGAGAACGCCCACCCCATCCTCAACGACCGTAGTGTAGAAGCCTAAATCACTACCAATATTATTCCTTAAAGGTCCCTGAACCCAAAACCGTGAATCCTGAACCCAAAACCCGAAATCCTACGGCCTAAACCCTGAACCTTAAACCCTAAACCCCCCCTCCAAGAAAAAAACATCCTAAAGCCTAAATCGACCTAAATCCTGATCCTAATATAACTAAAGTATTCAGGGAGCTAATCCTTAAGGCGCCCTGCGTGACGTAATCCCTTAGACGTCTCATTCCTTCAAAACCCAGCAGAACGTCCAGAGCTCTCAACCCCTGCAAGGGGGTTTGAGTTTAGGGTTTAGGGGTTTAGGGTTTAGGGTTTAGGAGTTTAGGGTAGGGTTTAGGGTTTAGGGTTTAAAATAGGGGTTTAGGGTTTAGGGTTTGGGGTTTAGGGTTGAGGGTACAAGCCCCTAACATCTTCAAACGCCCGGTCATGTGAAGAGCCTAGGGGCTCAATAGAGGCGTGCAACCGAAACCATGAAACCTGAAACCCTAAGCCTTAAATCCTAAACCCCAAACCCTAAACCCTAAAAACTCTAAATCCTAAACCCTAAATCCTAAACCCTAAACCCTAAATCCTAAACCCTGAACCCGAAAGACCCAGAATCCGAACTCCTAAGCCCCGATCCCTTGGACCCTACCTACAGTCTCCACTGTAGTTCCTTTTTGGGGATACCGGATAAAATCCTGAATATATATTTGGTTGAGCCAAAAAAAGGAACTACAGTGGAGATTATAGGTAAACCCCATCGAATCATTTCAGTAGGTCCGTTTCCCGTGTTTTGCGGATGTGGGTACAGCCAGCCAATGCCAGGAAGGGAGCCCTTGTTATTGCCAAGTTATAGGGGATCCTAAACCCTAAACCCTGAACCCCAAACCCTAAACCCTAAACCCTAAATCCTGAATCCTAAACCCTAAACCCTAAACCCTGAACCCTAAAGGGGATCCCAGCAAGTCTAATCCTCTCAGAAGCCCCGAACACCGTAAAGGTCTCGAGTGCCAGATGCCTTCGGTTGACTTGTCACACTGGGCCAGCACCCAGTTCGAGGACCTTAGGGGTTTGGGGGTTTAGGGTTTAGGGTTTAGGGTTTAGGGTTTAGGGTTTAGGGTTATAAAGGTTTAGGGTTCATAAAGGTTTAGGGCTTAGGGTTGATAAGGGTTTAGGGCTTAGGGTTTAGGGTTTATAAAGTTTTAGGGTGTAGGGCTTTGGGTTTGGGGTTCAGCTCGAGGGCCAGAGGGTTTAGGATCTAGGGGCCCCCGACACGGACAAGTCTTCGAAGGGATGGGTAAGGTTCTGTATTGGTTTTATAGCCAGGGCTGGTATAGGCTGGGATTGGGTGTTGGTTGGGGCATACTATACTAAACTCCCTAAATCCTAGACCCTAAACCCTAAACCCTAAACCCCTAAACCCTAAACGCAGAGTGTCCGAGTTTATAGAGGCTCCCGTTTGGATCGGACCAGTTTTGAATGGCTTTGTAATGTAGGGGCCTAAATAATTAGAATAGGATTTTGGGGGTTCCTTATTAAAATTATAGTATAATCGACCCCGAAACCCTATTCTAATTGTTACGGTCCCTATAGTAGCTGTTCGCTTTTGCCGCTTTGGTGGTTTCGGATGGATTTCTCAAGCTGCTCCTGGTGACAAGGGTTTACGAGAGTTCCTGGGTCTAGGATTTAGGGTTTAGGGGTTTAGGGCTTAGGGGTACGAGGGTTATTATATTGCAAGCTCAGAACCGTAACTTCCAGCACGATAAGCAATTTCGCTTGCGTTTGTAATGTAGGCGCCTTAACAATTGCCTATGATATTTTGAGGGTTCCTTATTATAATATGTCTGTTCGAATTATTGAGGCCCCTACATAGTAGGGGCTTTCATGGGTCTTGTGGGTTTTTCGTTGATGTCTCTTTTCGGTGGTCTGCTTAGCGGTGTCTAGTTTGTCTGTGTGGTTGTCTGTTGGGCTATATGAAGAGCAAGTCGAGGGATCTGCGATGAAGGCATGGGTTTGGAGGTTTAGGGTTCAGAGGTTTCGGGTGTACGGTGCGAGGTTTTATGTCGAGATCTGATGGATAAAGCCCGTGCCCTTCATGCAGATTATGATCGGGAGTCAATTAAGGTTTGGGATTTTTCTGTGAGCAACCCCTTAAACCCTAAACCCTAAACCTCTCAACTAAACCCTAAACCTCTAAACCTCTCAACTAAACCCTAAACCTCTAAACCTCTAAACCCTAAGCCCTAAGCCCTAAACCCTAAACCCTAAACCCTAAACCCAAAACCCTAAACCTCTAAACCTTTAAACCCTAAACCCTAAGACGGAGGCCTTAAACCCCAAACCCGAAGAGGAGCGGATGGAGGTCGATGTCGGGCACTCAGCAGGCTCAGGATTTGGCTCTTCAGATCCAGGTTCTTACTTAAAGGGTCATGGGACTTAGTAAGTAGGGTTTAGGGTTTAGGGTTTAGGGTTCTTACTTAAAGGATCATGGGACTTAGGAAGTGGGGTTTAGGGTTTAGGGTTTAGGGTTCTACTTAAAGGATCATGGGACTTAGTAAGTTGGGTTATAACTAAGATAACTATACCTATAACCCCAATTAGGGGACTTATAACCTTACTTACAAAGTTCCATGATCCTCCAAGTGTGGTAGGGTTTGTAGGGTTTAGAGGGTAGGTGTTTAGAGTTTCGGGTCGAGGGTTTCGGGTTTAGGGTCTAGGGTTTAGGGTTTGTAGGGTTTAGGGTTTAGGGTAGCCTACCCTGCTTAAACCCTAGACCCTAAACCCTAGAACCCTAAACCCTGAACCCTAAGCGCTACACCCTAAACC